ACCATCGTGAAAAAAAATAAAAATTCCAAAAAAATTTCAAAAGGCTATTTTTTATGAGAAACATGCAGAAATGATAAAATGATGAAAAAACGTTTTTCAAAAATGTTCATCTTAATTTTCCAACATCTGACCCAAAAAATGGTTTTGTCAAAAGATTCCCCCCAAAGAATTTCCAAAACAATTTCAAAATTCTATATTTTGATGAGAAACATACAGAAAAGATAAAATTGTGAAAAAACTTGTTTTGAAAATTTTTCATCAAAATTTTTCAACATCTGACCATAAAAATGCTTTTGCTAAAAAAAAAAAATTAAAAAATAAATAAATTTCCCAAAAAATCCAAACGCAATATTTTCATGAGAAATGTGCAGAATAGATAAAATTGTGAAAAACATTTTTTCAAAAATTTTTATCAAAGTCCCAAAAATGTTTGGGGAATTTTTTTTTTTTTTCAAAATGCTCTAATTTGATGAGAAACATGCAGAAAAGATCACATTTTGAAAAAAATTCAAAATTAGGATTTTGCCAAAAAGTTCCCCTTTTTTATCTCTCAAAATGCTCTAATTTGGTGAGAAATGTGCAAACAAGATTTAAAAAAGGAAAATAGTTTTTGAAAACAGTTTTCATCATAATTTTTTATCATCTGACCAAAATTTCCATAAAACATTTTTTGTCAAAATGCTATGATAGTATGAGAAACATGTAGACAAGATAAAATGAAAAAGAAAATTGCCAATAAAATGCCTTTTTTTTTGCATATGCACTGAAAACTGAAGAAACTAGAGATTTGTTTAATGATGTATTAACATGTGAATTACAGATCAAAGAATATTAAATAAGATGAACATAGAAAAATATGCTTCCAGTGGACTCACCACCTGCAGGCAGGTTCAGGGGGGTTGGTACGGTGCAGTGTGATTTGGGTGGCAGTCGTGGAGACTGCTGCCCCCGTGACCCGGTAACGGATAAGCGGATGAAAATGGATGGATAGAAAAATATGAACTCCACAATACAACAAGCTGAAAAAAATAAAATAACACAGTGAACTAGTTTACAATCCTTTTTTTGCCTCAAAATACACTGCTATCTTCCTTCCTTTCTAGTGGTTCAAATATAGAAAAAAAAATTAGTTGTACGTCAACAATTAGACAGTAATATACTATTTTTTATTATAATCATATCATAATGATTTATGATTATGATTATTAAAGAAAAAGAAAAACAATCTGTAGTTAATTCCATTCAGTTTATCTAATTACACTACTATTGTATCACATTATACTTATATATAAACTTATATATAACCATACATTGATCTTGAACAGCAGAATATACACAACCCATTGGCCTACATGTGATTGAAAACAATAAAAGATTGACAAATACTTTGACAAATATGTACAATGTCTATATTTGTACTATTTAAATGTGTTTTATTTATAGGATAAAATTGATGTTTGGAATCTCTGTCAGAATAACAATAAAAAATCTCTGTATCTCTATCTCTGGAATCTCTCTTTCTATCTCTCTCTCTGTCTCTTATTATGACGTTGTACTAATCTCTCCTAGCCTCCTCAGCAATCCGTCTAGAGTCTCTTTGTTTTGGGATTTCTCCTCTAGCAGCTCATATCGCAGACTCGAGATGTCCTGTTTAATCTCTTTGAGTTCACCTGAAAAAACAGCAGGACACAACAGATTTATGCTGTGCCAAAAACAGACTCAGTATACGTTTCTGTGTCACTTTCTCTGTTGATTTTACCTTCAGTGATCTCGTCACTCTCTCTGTCAGCCTGTGCTTTGATGATGTACCGTTTGATGAGGCGTTTCATGATCTTCTGTCACCAAAAAAAGTGAAAAATATGTCACTTTTTCTTCATTCTCTGTCGAACAAAACTTAACAAAGGAGCTAGAAACAACAACTAAAAGAGTAAAAAAGACACACTTCTCCATACCTGGTACCTGGTGGAACTGTTGGAAGAACCATATCCTGAAATTTTGCTCACTCCAAGCTACAAGGGGAAGCCAAAGTCAGTTTCATTGAGTAAAAAAACTAACAATGTGCTTTTCCTATCCTTGAGATGGGGACTGTAATGTCACAGAAACACCACTCGAAGGTGCTGTGGCTCTGTTTGTGGAGCTCCATTAAGTTCATCATTATTTGACACAAGATAAATTCTTCACGTACAGCGCATGTATTAAGACTGTGTGGTACCTGGTTAAGCTGCGTCTCAGATTTCTCCTCACAGTGTCTGCCATGTATGAAGTGTAGAAGCAAAGACCTGGCACATGTGGCCAATCCCAGCATGGATTTGGGACTGGGCACTAGGTTAAAGGGCACAGGGAGCGTACGACCCTCTTCAAAGTAGGAGAACCATAATTTAGCTCGAGCAAACTTCCATTCAACATCAGCATCATTCTGAAGCAGAAATCACAAGGTTTTAAGTTTAAAACATGGAAAAAACCTACAATAAGTGGTTAAACACATACTTGTTATTAAATGTCAAAGATATAACAGCACTAACATAACACATAAAGTAGGCTAAACTATTGCTGGGTATTATCCAAAAGAAGCTACACATTTGCTCAAAAATAGCTTAAAGTTAATAGCTTAAAGGCAAAACAAAAATGCAAAAGATAACTACAAGTTGTCACAAAAAGAGAAAACAGATAGATAAAAGATAATTACATTCTTACCCATAAGCTTACCCGGGAAATGTCTTAAAAACGTTTTTTTTTTACCACAAAGCAGACCCTGACTCTACAAGCTGAATTAAGTTGCACCTTTAATCTAAAAATGCTACTACTACAAATAGTACTACTAATACTACTATGACTAGCACTTGTTGAACCAACCTCAATCTCCTGGAAGGAGCTGTTAATCATGGCAATAAGCATGTTGAGCAGCACTATCACCATGGTAACATTGTAGACACCGTATAGGACGTAGCCAATGTTCTCGATGAATTTGTGTCCATTGTTGATCACGACTGATCTGACCTCGGAGAGGCCAAATATAGCCCAGAACAACGTCTTGAAGCTTTCCTCTAGGCTGGCAGATGTGCAGAGACAGGAAGTGGAGAAAAAAAAAAGAGGGAGTTATTTTTGACTTAAGACAAACCATTCATCATCTTTAAGGAGATGTAGCTATTAATGCACTGTGGGAATACAATTTTTTGTGTTAAAGACCATTCTTGTTTTATTATTATTACAAAAGAAACACCACTGTTAAAATCTAGACAGACTTTCATAAGAAACATGTGAAACTCTCACGTGGTAAAGGCGTCGTTCTGCTTGGCCCCCAGGTAGTAGGAGTACAGGTTAAACATGCCAATCATGAACGCCAGGAAGACCAAGATGAAAATGACCATGAATTTGAAAATGTCCTTGACAGTTCTCCCTAAAGAGATCTGCAGCGGTCCAAAGCTCTCGTTGGCTGGGAGGATGTAGGCGATTCGAGAAAAGCTCAACACCACCGCCACTGCATACAGGCCCTCAGATACCAGCTGAGGGTCAGAGGGCAACCAGTGGATACGTGCTGTAAAAGTAGAGGACGAGAAAATCAGTAAAGGTCAACTAACTGATAAATAAAAAGATGCAAACATTAGCATGTGAACCATAGCATGTGAACATTATGACCATTTCCAGAAGTAACTTGACAAAATACTAATATTCAAAGCTGTATTTCTTTGCTTATTGATAGATATTTTCACATCTGTTAGGGTTTAAACCAGGGATTGTCAACCACTGGGCTGTGGGCAAATACTGGGTCATGGGTCATTTGGTACTGGACCACAGAGCAAAAATAAATAATGTATATGTTTTTATTTTAGTAATTATCAGTGGAAAAAAGTTGTTTTATTTTGAAAAAATATATTTACATTCTCTCCCAATTGCAAACACCTTTTGAACCATGTCAAGATGCTTGTCAAAATAAAAGTCTTTGGATAGTAACCTTCAAAAGAGAAAAAGGATAAAAAGTAGTATTTAAACTCTTACCTAAACTACTGGTTCATCAGGACTGGTGATTTTCATGTTTCATATACTGTTTGCGTTTTATTTGGCATTCAGTGTTCTACTTTTGTGCTCTGTAAATTAGATTTAATTGCTAAGAACTTTTTTCCAAGTCCAGATTACTACCTAATAAGGATACTAGAAAGGAGATGTAATCAGTGCAGCGTTATTACCCACTTTTGGGTCATGACCCACTGTTTTAGAAACACCAGTATAATAGTGGAGCTGTAAAGCACCCACTAAATGTGTCTATTAAAAGCTGGAATGGTATAAAGCAGGGAACTTGTGTCCTTGATGCGTCCCATAATCAACCCATATAACATTTTTATGTGGCCCATATATCGTATGAAATGATGATGATCTGGGCCACAGGAACACTACATGTCAACCAAACAGCAGCTAGTCCGTCAGACATGGCAGACACATTACTTTGAGCTCCACATATTTCTAGAATAAAGTCCACTGTAATTCATTAACTAATAATACTTAATTAGATAGTCCTGTGAGTTTTTTACTTAACGAGACATCGGAGACAGTAGGCCAGTAGGTGCCTGAGCATGCTCACCCAGTGTAAAGTAGTGTATCTCGGGCGGCAGTGTGACATTAATCAGTGTTGTGTAGTGTGTGTGTACATAGGTCTGGGCTAAGTCAGCGTGTCTCAGGGCGGAGAAACGGCAGCAGAATGAAGCCAGGAAGATGGCCAGCATCCCAAAGTCCAAGAAGTTCCAGGGTTCGACCAGATATTCGCCTGGTCCTTGACTCCAGATCTCCTTCACTTCAGCCCAAATCATACCTACAAAGGCATGAGGAAAAATACATTTATTCTGCTGTGAACTTGACCAGTGGCTCAAACTTGATGACATTCGTTAAAGGCATTTTTGTGACTTTTGTGGCTCACAAGATGAAAACAAAGAACAAGATGACAAACGTTAATGAACTAATGAATCCATTGTTATCATCAGAGGCTCACCCATGACCCACGAGATGATGAGGATCTCCATCCATGTGAAGGGTGTTGTAGTTGAACGATGAAGCAGCAGCGGGTCAGACTGGGGTTGAAGTTCTGGGTGCTGATGGTGGGTCATGTTTGCCAGCAGGGTGGTGCCTGCAAAACGGTCCGCGGCATTCAGAATCAGTAGGCCCAGGAAGATGGTGAAGGACGAGGCATGGGCCACGAACTTCATGAAGGGGCTTCGCATCACTTTCCCCACCTAAATGAGACAGAACACTACAGCACTTCAAAAAAACAAACACCCTGTGACAATAAGTATGTTGTAAGTGTCCTACTCTGCTGCACGGAGTGATCCAGTAAGCCACTGACAGACCAGGAAGTCCTATAGCCACAGCCAACACCACCAGCAGTTTGATAGCAGTGGTTTGTTGTCTGAGTTCAGGGAGATTCTCGTACCAAATACTGAGCAGCTGCTGCTGACAGTTAGGATGAGCTACAAACTGGAGAGGAGTAAAACAGAGACGTGCACTTTTTAGGGCCAAAAGGTGTAATATATTTAAAGACAGTCAGTCAGTAAAGTAAGTAAACCTCTTAGTTGTTTGATGCCTAACACCAGCCATTTTGGACTACCTTTGGCTCATACTGTATTTCATTTCTGTGTATACAAATCATGGGTTTGTTGTTTTAGTAATGGCGTCATTCTGGCTATGTAGCACGTAAATGTGTCTGTTATTGGACGAATAAGGAACTCCATTTTTTATTCTAAAATCCATGCTGGACATCTTTTAACAACGTGATTTATTGATTCATGTCATGTGAAAACAAACCTTTTTTAGCTCGTATTTGATGGCGAGTTTGAGCCTGGTGAGGCAGGGACGACTGGGCAAATCATAGCTGTCCTCAGAATAAATGTCTCCACTCAGTATGGCCTCCACCTCCTCTGTGCTACGACAAAGATCCAAAAGGCCCACCACGTAGTCCTTGCACTGGCTCGACAAATGGCAGTAGTCATTCTATGGGAGGAAATATTTGAAAATCGCCAGAACAAGAAAATAATAATGAATTACTTAAAAAAAGTAATCAACCTGCCAGATCGTACAGAATCTGTGTGCACAGGCAGAGAAAGAGACCCCGGACACCAGTGATCGTCTTTACTGTGATTTAACGACACTTCTACCGAGTGGCTGTCCAAGGAGTGCTGAAGTTTTTATGAGTTTGGCATCAAACTGTAGACTTCCTGAATAATATCTGTGCGCAGTTTATTTGGATTTCTTTTTCTCGCAAGTGGTAATGTGCAGCGCTCCTCGTAAATTCCCTTACCGTAGGCTGTTACAATTTGAACAAACCAACAATGTCAACAGTATCTTAAAAAAAAACTCAGCCTTTATATTGTTTCCTCTCTCACACCTCATAAAAATGTGCCTACTTTTAATGGTTGGCTGCAATGTGGGGTGTGTTTTGATGATGAGATGTACCAGGATGTGTAGCATTGTTCTGGATTATTCTGGATATGAATGTCTTGTGTTTTTATTATCGTCAGTTATGTTTATGAATATTTATACCTTAAATTCTTTCTCGATGTTGGCCAGCATGGCCAGTTCATTGCTGAGCTCCAGGGCGGCCAGCACTGGGTCTTCGTTGAAAAGGGAGAGGTAGGCAGGACTCGCTAGGCCTCTGTAGGCATTGATCCTGGAGCGAGAGTGGCTGAAGGAGTCAAACTGCTGCTGGTAGTGACAGGAGTCACAGTTGCAGAAATAGTCATGAGGAGGGTCGATCCGAGCTCCTTTACTCAGCAGGGTGTGAAGTATTTCGTACTCTTGGCAGTGAGCTGCCAGGATCACTGGAGTCACGTCGTGAGAGAATCTAAGGGTGAATGTAAACAAACCTTTAATGACACTTTTCCTTGAGTTTTTAAACTAAACCACTAAAGTTTTGGTGAATTAGATGCAGGTGTAGCCTAACACAGGAGATCACATGAGCCTCTTTGTAACAGCCCAGACACAGAGTATATTTTAATGGTCCTCTTGCTGCAGCTTACCTGGTCCCATCCTCGTCATAAGCGTAGAAATCATCCAGCATGTCAGCCTGAGCAGGGCTGGCTGTGAGACGATGGGCGTCTCTGAATGCAGGGTGACCCAACAAAGCCTCCGTGATACGAACGTAACCCTTACCTAGAACACAGACACAGAGGCAGACAGAGCTGGGCTGTGGAAGGTTCATAGTCATAGCATTTATGGAATTCCAGGGAATAATTCACGGTGGCCTTAGCTCCTCTGTTTTGCTGTGGTTGCCCAGAATTTGCAGCTGAGACTTATGATTATCACTCTGACAGATTTTGTTTCTCTTGTTGCTGTGTAATACGTTTGGTTTGGCAGGAACTTGTTTTCTTAGCACAAGGTGTAGCTCACAGGATTCTGGCTCTGCGGCACAACACCAAATAGAGCAGCAGACAAACGTTTGTGTCAGAGTCCAGAACTGTTTTCATTTGTGGACAATTAGTGGGATTAAAATCAGAGCTCCACGATGGGCCAAGAACAACTATGTCAATTTCTTACATATACAATCAGTGGTTCAGACATTAGTTTGAAACCCAGTAACAAACATGAATATATCTTACTGATGGCTAACAGCAGGGCGTCGCCCACTCTGGCCAAATCCTCCCTCACCAGCAGCAGCTCTGTCACCTCCAGATGCTCATTGGCTACGGCCAGCTGCAGGGCATTCTGGCCCATGTAGTCCACAGCGTTGACATTTAAATTGGGTACATGTAGCAACATGCGCCGCACCTCTGGTATGTTGCCATACTCGGCCGCCTCCAGGAATCGCTGCTCAACCTCAGTCAGGCTGATGGAAGGAGCTGAGAACATATACGCAGGTCCACGGAGGGCCTGGCGTCTCTTCACCGCACTGATACGAGCCAGGAGCTGTCGCTCTGAGCTGCTCTGGCTGAGAGAGGGACAGGGGACATAAACAGACAGGATATTATGTCCACATGATGGGTTGCGGGCCTGTACACATTTATAAATTCACATTTTAGTTACATGTTCTGGAATGTATCTCCACATCACAGTTTTAAGGAGATCACTTAGGGTTTTGTGCTACTGTATGAAAACAGATGTCGCCACAGCTTGAACCACCAGGTCCCAGTCCACATCTATGCAGAGCTGATGTTCTTTTAAGATCTTTAATAGGCAGTATGTATATTATATACTTTATGGTCTTTTATTCATTTAGTTTTAGATTTTTTTAAAACACGTCAAATAAAGTGCAAGCATTACCTTTTAAGTAGACATAACCAAAACAATTTGATTATTTCTTTAATATTTTTGTCATTTTAAGAATTTGTTATATGTTGATGTGATTTGAAAAGAAAACATCTAGCCACATAATTACGCATATAGCTACATGTGGGCACAGCATAAACCTTTAAAAATGTACATTAATGGACCAAAGGTGTCAAAAAAAACTTTTGAACATTTTAAAACAATTGTAAACTCAGGAACCAATGCAATATAAGCTTTACTTTTCATCTATTTTCATAAATACTTTGATGTTAGATTAATGATTGATTTTATGTTTATTTTAAGACAAATATTACGTTTAACGCAAAAGGTCAAATTTTGTGACCTTTATATAAGAAGCAGAACATTTTAGTGGCGTGTACAGTATGTCAAATTATTTTCTCTCTTTCATAGGAACAAAGTACAGAAAAAATCATCTGCCAGTCTACCTGGACTCATAAATGATTGACTTACTTGAGGCATCGTCCAGAGCAGCAGTTCTCCTCTCCAAACTCATCATACGTCAACAGGTTATCGCGGCTCCTGGCCCTGGGACCGTTAGCTCTAACCCCTGGCCGACTGTTCTGATAAACCGCCGAGGGTCTGTGGATCATCCTGGACGTGGTCACCGGTGTAAGGTCTGCTCCTGCTTCATATGAGGGAATAAACAAGTGTCTCAGGAATGACACAACTCTCCCTCTCTTTCTCTTCTTCTTCTTCTTCTTCATCTTCTCCCTCCCCCTATTTTTGTGTCCTTGAGAAAGAATGTGTCTTTATGGGTCCCACTACGGTTTTATTTACATGACAGGAACTTTACAGATGTGCAGGGCAGCTCAGTGTCATGACTCAACTCGATCAAGTCTAATCAGCATAACCTGAGTCAATTTACGTCGGCAGAATCTTCTCCAAATACTGTTGTCTGCCAATAGTTTGGATGCACAGGGCTGTAAAATGCTATTTTAAAGTGCAGTGTTTAGACTGCATTCAGTGATTTGGCAGTGTGTGTGTGTGTGTGTGTGTGTTGTACATGCATTTAGAAGTGACTGATAGGCTGATGAACAGCAGATGAGATTCCTCAGGGTTCACATTCCCAGGAGACCTTGCTTCCTGTGTGCGCTCCTACTCTCTGATCCTCATCCACTGTGGGAAAACAATGTCACGCTTTCTTGTGCACGTGCACATGCACACACACATATACACTAACAAATGAATTTACTTTTCAACTTATTCAGATTAAGTCAACATCAAGTCCTTCTGATCAACAAGTGTTCTGTTTTTTTGACGTGTTTTTTTCTCACCTGGGTATCACAGCATCATCTCAGCTATAGAAGAAAAGTTGCCTTTTAAGGCCCTGGCCGCTGACGACGTTTGTCTTTGAACATTTCCAGGTGTAACAGGATCGTATCGAGGTGAGAGGATGGCAGAGGGTGAAGGAGTTTAATCTGTGATGAATGTCAGCCGTGAGAGTTATTGTTAAGACTTCCTCCTGTGACTGGAACAGAGCAGAACAAAGATGTGGAGTAAACACTGTCAGCTCAAATGTACACACTCTCACCGAGGGCCACTGCGTGGGTGAGTGTACACTGTGTAACTGAATGGTTTGCATAGCTGTGTATGTTACTATAGATAGATTTGTTCAAAGGGGCCATTTTGGATCATTTCCAGAGCTGTGATTCAAACGCTGTAGCTATCCTTTTTGGCTAACTTTTAGCCGTTTCATTCATTTCTGGTATTATTTCTGGACTTATTTTACTTAATGTAAAATTCTGTTTTTCTGTATATATTTTATTTAACATGGCTTTCCCTGAAGTTATTTTCTCTTATCTTTGGCTAATAATTAGCTATTTACTTTCTTATTGTCATCTTTATGTTGTCAAATATTTAGATTTTTTGGTAAGTTGTATCAATTTTTACCTCTGTGACTTTAAGCAAATTCTTTAGGTTAATTTACTGTATTTATCTTTAGTTAATTTGTAGTTACTTTAAGTCAGTTTTCCCGTTTCTGGTTTGAATTTTAATTATAGTTTGTAAAATTAATCAACGTTTTAATGATAAATATGTAGAGCCCCAGTCGTAATAATAAAAAAAAAAAATCAAGTAAATTTGAGATATTTAAACGCTATTTTGGTAAAAGAGCGAATGCGAAACAGGCACAGATATTGTAGAGGAAGACTGCTGCCCTCTTGTGGGAAAAACTACAAACGACAAGAGGCATTGCTCTTGTTCAGGGATTTCCAAAATGTGGTAAGAGCAATGCGCAATACAGTACTTGCCGCTCATTAAACTCTACTTTTAGATTAAAGGGGCCCTTGTCTGAATCTAAGTTGATGAAAGTCAGACTTTAAGTGAAATATTTTATCACGTTTTATTAAAACGTTTGTGGTAATCAAAGATGCAGTGCAACTTTCATAGGACTGACTCCGATCTTGTCTCTTCCTAATGACAACTGTCAGTTGTTGGTTACAATCCTTCTGATCTTCATGGTGACAGATTTGATAGTGTGAGGGACACCGTTCTGTCTCCAGGTGTCCCACAGGATGTTGGTCCAGTGCCCATGACTTTGTTCTACGTTGTCGGGAGAACCATTGAGGTTTGCTAGACCACACTGGTTGAACCACCATCCAGTGTGATTGTACTGAGAGCTGCAGCTCTCCACCGTGCGATTTTCAATTGTGCAGAAAGGGTTGCAGCCGTCGTTGTCCACATCTGAAGCACTGAATGGAGCAGTGTCCTGATTCTGCTCCTGCTCGTAGCCACGAAACGCATCTCCTGCAGAGAAACGCATTTAAACAAATAACATCAGGTTATATCAAATCTGTGTAGGTATGGAAAATGGAAGGTGGGATTTTTCTGAAGTATGTTTGGACATTTCACATCTATTATGTCATACCTGCACTCCCTGCATATCGACCCAGGTGGATAGAGAAGAAGTCTGTTTCACTGTCCAGGTGGAAGTCATCGTACGAGGCATAAGCAGTGATGTCATTGTGGGAGGTCAAGGCTATGTGAAGCTGGAACCGAGTGTCCTTTTGGTTTACTATGTGAAATACCTTTTTCAGGCCCAACCAGTGTTCACCTACACACACACACACACACACACGAATGGAAAGAGTTGATCAGCCAAGTTTAGCACTGATATCTCGACTGTTTGTTTTTACTGTTTTTTGGCTTAAATGTGTTTATGGATGCCAGGTTTCGTATTATCTAGAGAAAACCATGGTGAGGCCCTGTCTAATGTTGTCAAATATTTGACCTTGTTGTACCCTCCCTCCCCCTGCAGGGGGCTCCCCCCACCCACTTTTAGGACCACCATTATGCGACAATGCCTGTACATACAATGCCAGAATCTGTGTGGTTTTTTAACCTGCAAGGTTTCCAAATCCATCAACGTAGTCAGACCAAGATCTTTTGAAGTCAGTGAGTCCATCATTTCTCCTCTGCATCACTGTCCACCCCCCTCCCATGTAGTCCATCTCACAGAAGACCTGGGGGACAGAGTCTGTGTTATACAGTCACTGGAGAATCACCAGTTAAATGTGAGAAAAAAATAAAGCCAAACTGAATGCAGGACTAACCCACCTCAAAGGAAGTGTCCATGTTCTCTGGGTGGACGATATAAATACCACTGGGAATCTTGGGGACAACTGACATGAGAGTGTCCTTGATGTCACTACAGTCCCTACCTTTAAAAACAAAAACATTGAATTATTCCATTAATTATTTGCAAAGTAACAAAAGGATGAAAAAAATAAAAAAAAATAACCAATCACCAAGTGTTGTTGGTGAGTGAATTACCGTGAGACTGTACTGGTTTCACTGAGTACATCTCAGTGTTGCTCCTCTGGACCTCTGAGCTGAGTGTTTGCACCTTGGTCATTAACTCTGTGACCTGAAAATGTGACAGTTGCGTTTGTACAGCGGCCAATCAGCAGCCTTGTCAGTGCAACAGGTGAAGCAGGCGTCATTTCCTCACCTGACTGCCGAGGATGTCCAGAGCTCTCTGCTGCTCCTCCATCACGTCTCTGATCAGTTTCCTGGTGCTGCGGCCAAACGCCAGCAGAGACTGCTGGAGCTGACCTGTCACGTACAGAGAGACAGACAGATGGTGACGGAAACCAACAAGTGAACCCAAGGAACGACACAAACAGAAAAGGGAATGTTACCGCAGACTGAATGTTTTTCATCTCGTAGCAGTTTGACAGTGATGTCACATGGAATGGAACATGTGTCCCGACCTCTGACCCCTCCAGCTGCTGTTGGCTCTTTGACAGGAGCCTCAGGGAAGTCCTCACTTACCTCTTCTGACTGTTTATAATGTGTGCTCTTCTCTGTGTCCTAAGAATGAGGAAGAGGGAAAATTAAATTAAAACTTCCAAATTTATACTGTATACAAAAAAAAAAAAACCTGATGTGATAGACTGGATATTTCCCTGGGGTGGTTATGATTTCAGTCATTGGTTTTAGTTATTTTCAACAGATTCTATTTAGAAGCAAATAGATGATAAAGGATGACTAGAGATGTTCATTGTAAGGGACTGTCCAACAGGAGCTCTGACTAAGATAGATAAAACCAACCTCCTCCAAACCCAAGTGGGAAGGTGGAGCCCCTGGGGGGCAAATAGCTATTGGCTAATGAAGTTAAATTAAAATACTTTCTTTTAAACCATAATGGAGAATTTTTTACACGGCTGAAGCTAGGAATATTGCGTCGCTGTGAGGCCTACCAAATCAGGGCGTTACAAAAAAGTTGTTGTTGGTAAAAGCTGCTGAAGCAGAGGATAAATTCCAACCCACCACAAGGTGTCCCTCGGCCAGGTGTTTTGGCTTGGTTTTGTCATCGATGTAAAGAGAGAGGCAAATAATCAATAATGAAACTAAGTGTCTTAAAATTCCAAGTCAAAAAAGGAGAAATAAAGACATTGTAATTATTATAATCTCATAGATGTTTGAGATTAATGCTGAAAACATTTTCACAAAAAAAAATCATACATGATACGTACGGTCGAAGAGAGCAGCTGTGGCAGAAGCAGCAGAAGGAGAGTTGTTGTCCACATCATGCCTGTTGTGTATCTCCTCCAGGATTGAGGAGGCTGAGCTCTGTCTCCGTCGTCACCAAGAGCCACTCCTTCATTTATTTATGCTCCACAGCGTTTGCCTTTTTCCCAATCACATGTCTATCCTCCCTGTCTTCTTATCTCCTCTTCGTCTTTGACCCCAATTGTCAAAGTTTACTTTCTCAGCTTCTCTGCTTCTGTTGCCTCCTTCTCTCCACCTCCATCACTCCCACTTTTCCCCTGTAAAATACCATGACGACATGTTCAGTAAGAGGAGTTAACGTTTGCAAATGTGCTATTGGTGTTAAAGGTCTGGATGTGTCTGGAAAGAAGCTGAGTTTGCTTATTCCACATTAGTGGTTTTTTTAAGTGATTACTCCCAGCCTTTGGCCCTATTGCTGGTTGTTTTACAGGTTATATCCTGCCACCAGCATGAGAAACAGATGTGGGGAGGCAAATGGGCTGATGGTGTTAAATGGTGGAACGCTTTCTCTCAGCTTGTGTCTCGCTGGGAGCTACAGCTGTAGGCAGATGGTTTCTGCTTCTTCATCTTCTTATATTTCCTGGCTCTCACGACACTCAACACTTTCTCTGTTTGACAACTGACTCACCCGTCTCCCGGTGGGTCAGACCAATTACTCCATTTAACTGGGCAGTTAAACGCTGAAGAAAGTGCACAGCGTTGAACAGCAAAAGCACATTCCAGTTGGCAGCCAGCTGGAGCCGTCCGGCTGGTTTCTTCCTTGGAAAACGTTTGCTGTAGGTGCCAAAGAAAAGATTAGCTGTTGTTCTGAACCTGTGTGAGTTTACAGCCATGACCAGAGAGAGGAATGTGAGAAGCCTGGTGCCACAGCCGTGGGGCCTCCACATCTGCCCCATGTTACATGCTCCAGTAAAGCTGCCTAATGTATAGGGGTGTCACTCTGAATACTTAGTTAAGAAAGTCTTAATCACATTCTCCTGACTCTTTGTCTCTCAAAGATCGAATGCATTAAAACAGAAAAATGTCTAATTTACTAGCTTCTACAAATAGCAATAGCCAAATCTTCATCTTAACGATAGCAACATCTGGTCACAAGTTTTTAACTAAACTGTACTGAAGAGGAGTTCTACATATTCAATATTTTTTGTAGTAATTAATTGCGCTGGAAAAGTCAACAATCACGTTTAAGTGAAAACAAATAACCAACAAAAATCTGCTCCATAACTTGAACTGTGTTTGATTACTACTGCAATCCCTTGGGTTCGTTCTGAAGTTACTTCATCAAATTTTAGTAAGGAACAAAACGGTTAAACAGTGCCATCTACAGCTCATTAGGGTTTATTGCAACGCTTGAGTATTATATTTTGCCAATTTAGTTGCATGAAGACAAATCGTTGTAGTATTTCCTACAACACATACATTTGTTAAAATTTCCAAATTACCTATATTTATTATTAATTTATTATTTTTAAGAAAAGGAAATAAAGACCATTTCAATCTTTTTATAGAGTGTTTTATGGAAATAGCTGAAATCAGTTCAACTATTCAGTCTGATTTTTATGACGGGCCACGGAATGGGTTTCTTTCAGGTTTTCTTATTTCTATAAAATATTTAAAATATTTTATCCATTCCATGAAATGGCTTACATTTATTTTATTTGTGAGTTTACACAGAGCCACTAAGAGTCCAGACAGTGGTCAGAAAAGATAAAAAATGCAGAACATACGATGAAGTCTATATTAATTTGAATATTCCATAATTTCCTTTTCTGTAAAGTTCTTACCATTGTATATGTAAATATTAGAGCTGCTTAATTAAATAAAGTTTAATTTAAACTTTAAATAATTTTACTAATACATATGTTGCGTGACACCATTTGCAATCCAATAATAATAATAATAAAGAACATAGCATTGTACAGTATGTATGACTTTTAAATGGTTTGTGGAGCTCTATATATTTTTACATCAATCAGTATCGCAGACCAGAGCTTATTAAGTGCCTTTTCATTTCTGTTATTCTTACAAAAATATTATATTCCTTTTTAGACTCAAAATAGTCTGGGAAATTAATATGGTTCATTCGATATTTTTTCATCTTTTGTGAAGACTTCTATGCTTAGTCTAGTCCATACTAGACCTAATTAACTAAAAAGATTGAATAATTGTGTAAGTAATTGGTTTCTGTTTAGGGATGTTCCTGTAGAACCCAACATTATTCTTTAATTCAATTTGCCAGCTGAGCTTCGGCTGATCATGAGCATGTTTTCCAGCAGAGGGCAGTGCACGGCGGCTGTGTGTGCACGGACAAACAGTCTTCGGTTGGGTTGGCCTCATCAGGGCGGATGTTTTCTCAGTGCAACTTTTCCCCACTCCCCCTCTCCAACCCTAACACTCAACCACTGCCGCCTCCCCCACCGCCCGACCTACACATCCAGGCCCAGAGATAAAACAACAACATTATCTTTCTACTTATCCCCAAAATTCTCTTCACTTTCATTTACCACAAGAATACCATGTCATTACCAATCTGAAATAATTCTCACTGACTTTTAAAAAAATAATTTACAGTCTGTGGTCTATTTTCTGTATTGTGATGTGTTAGCATGTTGTTCGTATTTCTTCCCTACAGGTGGTGCTATTAACACAGCTGTGACGCCTTGGTCTAAGAGTCAAGTGAGGTTAAGCAATTAATATTGGACAGAAAATGTTACGGGGGGGCCACATGTTGGTAGAGTGACCTGCCGCAAAAAGATCACAGGTTATTGTGCGTGTGCACGAGGGCGCGTGCCTGTGATTTTTTTCCAGGTACTCCAGTTTTCTCCCACAGCCCAATATCCTGCAGGAATGGTGTAAACCGGAAGCTCTTAATAGACTGTAGTTGTGAGTGAAGTGTGAATCTTTGTTGTGTCTATGTAATGGACTGGTGTAGTGTTCGGTGCGAATCCCGCCCTCGCTCGATGACTGCTGGGATTTGTTCTAATCCTTCCCTGTTCTAAGTGGGTCTAAAAGGGGTTAAGCGGTACGAACCGTTATTTATTGCACCCCCTGTCGGATATCAAAGGATTTGCGTGTGTACACAATATAGATTTTTTATTAACTTTTCTAAAATAAAATATTGTATAACAACAGAACTTGTTGTGCTTTTTAAACGACTAGTGGATTATTAAAAGTAATTAATTAGTCAGTTGTTGATGAGTAATTGATTAAAATATTTCAGCGCTAACGTATCTGTTTTATACAGTCGAGGACGTTTAATCAAGTAATGTTGTATGCGTCTGCGCGCGCGTGCATGTGCGTGTGCCCTCGCAGTGAAACACTTCCCCTGCAGCTGCGGCAGCTTTAAAGCCTTGGGCCCCGCCCCTCAGCACTATCACATGAATCTGGACTCAGTGGATGACGTGAAAAAGTTTGGAGTCTCTCAGCTCCAGACTGTACACACTCAGTGGCGTATTTACCTTTTAAATCACAGTTTTCCACAACTTTGTTAGGCGCTCGGGGCAAAGTGTGCATCCGAAAGTCACCGTTTTTCTGCTTGGGTTTCTTCTGCGGCTCTGATTTCCCTACTGCAGGAATACAGACAGAGACAGAGAGACAGACAGAGACAGAGAGACAACCGGAAGACGGTCTGGCTGCTTGAAGGTATGTGGGAGGAACAGAACGTGTTGCACACTCTGCACTAAGACTGTTTTTAAGTCCTTATGTTACCAGACCCGTTCCCCTTTGACGTTTTAAGCAGTGATAGTTTGTTATTTTCTGCTTTTCACATGTGACGAAACTTTATAAACTGTTAGTCGTTGAAACCGACGCACGGCGACACCGCAGCAGAACTGGGGTTGGGGTGTTAGGAGGGGGAGGGGAGTGTTTGGAGGGCAAACTAAAACTCCATAAACAAAACAAATCTCAGACTCGCCCTGGTGTTTTACTTAATCGTGTTTTGTTTGTTTAAGTGAAGATTTTATTTTTTATGTTTTTACTTACTGGCGCAGATTATTGTTCCAGACCTTGGCGACACCATGGACGCACACCGCGGCGCGCCCCCGGCCGGACAGCAGGTCGTGCACGTCCGCGGGGACTCGCAGACGGAGCTGGAGGCGCTCTTCAGCGCGGTGATGAACCCCAACAAAGCCGTCAGACAGCCGGCCTCTCTGCCCATGAGGATGAGGAAGCTGCCGGACTCTTTCTTCAGACAGCCGGATCCCCGTGGCCACTCCAGACAAGTACTGACCGATAACTTCCACCGCCACAGTGCAGCAGCTGCAGTAACACACATAAAAATAGATTAGACGTATCACTATAAAAGTACTAAAATAAACCGCAACATCGTTATTGTTTACACTTGTATTTCCTGTGGACTTACTGAGCATGGAGACCAATGATGAGAATAGGTCGATCCGCTCAGCGCTCTGTTAACGTTGCCTCCCGCTCCAATCGAATCCCGTTCTTTTCGACGTTGTGTCTGTGCTCCTACGTGACTTCTGTGGGTCTGTTTGTGAAAGAAAATTCAAAGGGTGATCTGTTGGTTGTGTTGTTTAAATTGCTTCTTGTATTCTCTAATGCAGTAGTCACACAGTAATATTAGGCATTTCTCACATGGCCAACATACAAAAAATAGTTTGGAGCTTCAGTAGTTCCATACTGGAACGTGGATCACAAACGTCAATCAAACTGCACCAGTGTTCTGTCGGATAAGTTTGTTTAACCAGAGCAGGCCAATCTTTGGATTAAGATTTGGCCCACATTGTGGATACCAGCTGTGGGCCGCTCATTGTTTTGCTCTCTCACTGTACTTTCTACTTTACCATCATTATCTATCTGATTATCTATCTATTATCTCTAAATAAAAATTTGTCTGATTGCCTAGCTGGTTTACAGTTCGAGAGCTAAGATTATAAATGGACCGTCACTTTTTCCAACCCCAACCTGGAAACAACCAGTTGTTTAGTACCTGTTGTGGTGTCACCTGGGTAGTAAAATTTGTTTATTTAAAAAAAAAACTACAGTGGAGTTTAGCCTGCTTTTAAATTTAACAAGTATAAATATAAAATAATACACATGCTCCTCTTACAAATACTTCAGTCAGTTTTGGCCAGTATTCCAAAATCATGTTTTGTGTTTTTACATTAAAATTTAAATTGTTCTCCTAAATGAAAAAAACTAGTAAAGCACAAATTAAAGTCAAATACATTTTACAAATATCATTAAAAACCAAATTCGATAACACACTGACTTGGCATTTTGGCAACAGCGGGGAGTAAAGAGTAAGCTCCCTTTTCCAGGAAGAAATCTCCAGCAGATCCAGCCTTGTTGTTCAGCTGTCTGCCCCTGGTACAGAATGAAAGGGGGGATAAAAGGGTGGAGCGGGGGCAGACGGACAACACTATAATCTAAGTCACAAAAGCTGTTAAAATGCCAGCAGCTCAGTTGTAGGAACCTTCATCCATACTGTATGAGCAAATGGGTAACAGTGATATTTGTTAAAACCTCTGATTGGTTGGATTTCCTCTCCTAAATCTGCTTCTTCCTGCTTCTTTGCACGTACTATATATCTCTTGTTAGTTTTTGTCAACTGTGACATGTGTGCTCCTCGTTTCTGGTCAGGCCAGTTCAGATGGAGGTGTGTGCGGCACCCTCACTCCCCATCACGTCCGCGCCCATTCCTCTCCAGCCTCCCTGCCCGTCAACTCCCTCTCCACTCAAACAGCAGATGTAGCAGCAACACCAATCATACCTGATGACGTGCCACTCCCCCACGGTTGGGAAATGGCCAAAACCTCAACCGGCCAGCGATACTTCCTCAAGTAAGAGGTTTTACCGTATCATTATGTGTGATCT